AAAAATTACAAATACAAATACTCCATTAAATTTCAAATTTTATAAATAACCTCCTTAGACTATTTCTAACAAATCTAAACAATACTCACTCCAAATTGCTTATAAAATAATATTCGAATTTTAAATACACTTATTTAAGCTTGCTCAATAATGGTGGATTACCTTAAGAACTTAATTTTCACCACCCAAAAGGATTTGTTTTGTTTAAATGATGTGTGAACCACAATTATTGATTCTGAAATTGGATTAGAAGTTTAAGCTTTAAGAAATAAAATTGAATAGTATTTTCGAGAACCTATTTGAAGTTGGATGTTGAATCTTGGTCTATTAATTTGGGCTATAACATTGCAAAGTTATACATAGGTCACCTGATTGCAATATGTGTGCGTTGATTGTACTTATGTGTAATTCTCTTTTTGTTTATTCATTACTGTACTTATGTGTAATTCTCTTTTTGTTTATTCATTCTTTTACAATTCGTTTAAACACAAAATCAAAATGAATAAAGCTTTTTCTTTTATTATCATAACTTTATCTAACCAGGTAAGCCCGTAAAATTTAGGTTTTTGATATTTTCATACGCTTTGCTGCTGATCAATTTTGGCTAAATAGGTTGCCGAAGCTGGGTCAATTTTTTGGATGGGCTAATTGTTGTTATGCTCAAATTCATGTGCGAATATATATATATATATATATATATATATATATATATATATATATATATATATATATACTATATTTTCATAAGTTTAGTTTGACATCCAAATCATAAGAGGGAGAGAGAGAGGAGAGAATACTTATACCATTAAGGAGAATATAGTTCATGCATTTTCCGTAAGCACATTCATAGTTACAAGCACCACTTTTATCAGCCACATTTGAAGCCAAAGACCGGTAGCATTCCATAGAGGGGCATTCGATAAATAGAGCGCACTTTGCCATGCATGAAACAAGGGTGAGTATACATTGAGTCGCATAAACAATGCCTCCTGTCCTTACCAGGCAATCGAACACAGATTCAGAAGACACGGGTGACCCTGAAAAGAGAAGAATTGCAAGCACAAAAAGTAATTTAACGCCTATCTTTCCCTCCATATTGAATCTTCCTATTTTATTAATGTTACCCAGATTTATTTGTGTGAAAATAGGTAGAAGATTCATGAATACTTATAGTCACACATGCATAAGAATTAGCCGATAGTTTAGTCTTTAGCTTTCATTGTTTTGTCTTTTGCTTTAGAGGAATCAATGCATTTTAATAACAAGACAGATATCTGAACCATGTTGGCCATGTGTGACACATTATAATTATTTCTTTAATTTTTTATCCCTAAAAATATACTAGTTAGGATTTTTGTGGAGTATCTTCATTGTTTTATCTTTTGCTTTAGAAGAATCTACATTTAATAAAAAGACGAAATGTGAACCACCATGTGGGCCGTGTGTGACACTGCAAGAATAATTTTGTCATAATTGTTTCTTCAATTTTGGACCACTAAAAATATACTAGTTAAGATTTTTGTGGAGTATATTCATTGTTTTGTCTTTGCTTCAGAAGAATCAATGCTTTTCAATAAAAAGATGAAATGTGGACCACCATGCGGGCCGTGTATGACAATGCAGAAATAATTTTGTCATAATTATTTCTGCAATTTTAGACCACTAAAAATATATTAGTTGGAATTTTTGTGAAATATCTTGATCTAAAAGTGTCATACTTTGTTAGAGCATAGAATAAACCATTATTTTGAAGCTTTTGTGAACAAGATTCATTGACTTTCTTTACCGTAACACTTTTCTTCATTGTATGACTTTAATAATTACTGTTATTATTCTAGTTGTCATGATTAGCTAGCTTTATTTTTAAAGTGGCGGACCCAATAATGCTAATGTGCGTTTACATTTGAATCATATATATATATATATATATATATATATATATATATATATATATATATATATCATACTATACTAAAAGTAGGAACAGTTTAAATTGAAAATTAATTTACAAATTTACCCATCACAAGTTGAGTGGCATTTTCGCCCTTTCGATCAAACTATATACTAACAAGATTGGTATACAAAGAGGTAACTATATATTGTAATAAAGATAAATAAATTTCAATAAATTTGTAGATATAATAAACTAGTTAAATGGTAAATGGATGACACGATAGGACGCTTAGGGTTCTCCTTATTGTTTTTATGGCGTTAAATCTTAATTATGACTATTTAGGACCACAAGAGTCGATTAATTAAGCCCTAAAACTATAATTACTTATACGTTTTATCTGGAAGTCCAAAGTTGTGATATCTCTTGAAATGTTAGGGGCATTTGCATCTATACCCGTTTTTTGTGCTACATTTTAACTTATGCCCGCTTTGAAAAAAAATTGCAAGCGTACCCGCTTTTTCACATAAATTCAGCCCACAGGGCTGAAGTTTTTCTTTTGTACTGGAAAACTTCAGCTGAAGTTTTTGTCTTTGTAACCGAAAAACTTAAGCAGTTTTCCAGCTTAAGTTTTCCAGTTATAAAATANCGCTTTAGCAGAATTCTCCTTTCATGTGGTGATAAAGCAGCGCGAGGATACTCTTGATTGCCTACAATACTCTGACTTCTTGACAAGGTAATCCCGATATACAAAGTAATAATTATTTTTAATGTAGTGTCTTTATATTTGTTTGTAGTGTCGATTATCATAATTTTGGGACAAGAAAAACTTGGTGTATACGGTATTCCCGTTTATGCAACCATTGACTTTGGGAAATTATTCTTTTTCAGGTCTACAACAATGATATCTTATCAGTATGGAGAGGAGTGAGCTTTTGATGTGCTTTAGGAGAAAATATTATTATTTCCTAATATTTTATTTATTAGAACTTGATATTCTGTAAAAGATGTTCATCCAAGAAAATTCATCATAAATTCTCCGAAAACGATATCATGAATGTTGTTGGTCAATTTTAATTTTGCTCTTGATACTTCATGTTAATTAGAGGATATCTATTTTGAATTAGCATTTACTGATTTCTGTTCTATTAATCTCTGAGTTTTAATTTTTGAGAGACCGTAACGTTATAACTGGCAATTGATTTCTTATGGGTTCAATTGGCACCCTGCATGTGCCACCTGCCCTTTTGCATGAAAGACTTCTTGCAGATTCATTAAGATGTATAGTTACATGTACAAGTTTGAAACTTGATGTCACAATCCAAATTCTTCCTTCATGAATTGTCATGATGGCACCTAGTCTCTGCGACTAGGTAAGTGTGACGACCCGACCCGTCGTCTCATGAGTTACCGCCCCGTTTCTCCCATTTTTATGCTTCTTCATGTTTCATTATCAGTATTTGGTGTGTTAGAGTTGATTTGGATTGGTTTTGGTAGAAATGAGACACTTAGTCTCTTTAAGGAAGGCTTGTTTTGGAAAAGTCAGCCGGATGTTGACCTATGAGTTAGAGGGCTCGAATGTGGATCCGGTGATTTGGTAAGCTTAGGGGAGTGATTTGTGACTTAGGAGTGTGATCGGAAGTGAATTTGGAGGTCCGGTGTAGAATTAGGCTTGAATCGGCGTAGTTAGTATTTTTGGCGATTTCCGGTTGATAGGTGAGATTTTGATCCGAGGGTCGGAATGGAATTCCGAGAGTTGCAGTAGCTTTGTTAGGCGATTTGGGATGTGTGTGCAAAATTTCAGATGATTCGGAGGTGTTTGGTCGGGTTTTTGATCAAATGCGTGTTTCGGAAGTTTTGGAAGAACTTAGGCTTGAATTCGATGAGAATTGATGATTTTTGTGTTGTTGGATGTGTTTTTATCATTGGAACAAGTTTGAATAACGTTGTAGGATGCATTGGTATTTTTGGTTGAGGTTTCCGGGGCCTCGGGGAGAGTTCAGATGGTTAAACGAAGAGTTTCAGAATTTTTGCATGGTTAAGGTGTGTTGGTATCTTGTATTTTCGCACCTGCGGTTATGGGACCGCAGGTGCGATCACGCAGAAGCGGAGGAGGAAGTCGCAGAAGCGAGTCTTGGACTCAGGGCAAGTTCCGCAGAAGCGGAAGTGTGGACCACAGAAGCGGTCCCGCTGGTGCGATTTCTGGGTCGCAGAAGCGGTCGAAGCCTTTAAGTGAAAAAAACGCAGAAGCGGTATAATGGGCGCAGAAGCGGTCCCGCATAAGCGGAAACGGGACCGCAGAAGCGAGAAGCCTGGGCAGAATGTTAAATTAGTCTTCTTCACGAATTTTTGAAAGAGTAACATATTTCACTTCGGACTTGGAGAGTTTTTGGGCGATTTTGAAGAGGGTTTCAAGG